AATACAGTACATGCTTCGTATCCAGGAGGTTGAGAATTCAATACAGTACATGCTTCATATCCAGGAGGTTGAGAATTCAATACAGTACATGTTTCGTATCCAGGAGGTTGAGAATTCAATACAATCTATATCCTATGTTTTTTACATTTCTTTTTGCCAAACAGTATTTCGGTAGTCAAACAATTTTGGTACATGCATCATACATAAAGCGAGAGTTTATCCTCTAGTGACACATTACTAGCTGCAAGCAGACAAAAAAAATGCTACAACCCCCTCATGGTTCATGACATTGTGTAATGAGTAGTTTGAAATGTACGACACATTATTAGCTGCTAGAAGACAATGAAAATGCTAATCACCTAATGGTTCATGAGATTACAGTAAATATTTGTTTGAAACTCACATGACACATTAGTAGCTGCTAACAGTGTTCCTTCTACAACTCCCTCAATAATGTGGTTAATGTAACAAAGTAATGTAACATTGGAGAAGGCAGATAATTAAGTGTGTCTTAGAAAAATGTGCATGCTTGGGTATGGTATTAGGATAACACAGTACAGGAGAAAAGCAGAGTGCTTACTTTATACTGTGGTTTTCAGGTCTTGTATGGAACACTGTACTGGTTATTTTTGCACACTAGTCAAGCATCCTAAGATTGGAAGGCTTACCTACAGATCAACCTCTAAAACCACAGTATCTGCCAAACTAGGGTTATTGAACCTCAGCTTTGAAAATTTAAACAATGATAAAAGCAGAAAGCTGCTTGAATGCAGAAAACCCTCATTACCACATATTTTCTGAGTGAACTTTTAAATATGCCAACAGAGTTGATTCGTAATATCAACATACAAGTAAAGGATTTATCATAAACATGACAAAAACTGATCAGGAGCTTTAAGTTTTGAAACTGACACCAATGAAAATTTCAAGTTTACACCAAAAGTAATATTTAAATTTTTCCAAGTAATAACATGCATAAAAAAATCTTTTAAGAGTACTAAATAATACTCATCTGTTAATGCTTACCTCTTTGCTGCTCTGGGAAGAATCTGACACCTCACCACTTTCTGTAGACTTGACCTTCTCTCCAGTTGTGGTGGAACCATCTATACATTCATAAGCTCAAATCAATAAATATTTTGCAAGAGTATTCTCTAAATTACAGAATCCAACAAAACACAGTTGAATAAAACCAGTTAGAAATGCTTGAAGTTGCCATATGAATTAAGATAGCCAAGAGTAAAAATAGGACTCAGGTTTCCATAAATTAGTTTCTTGTAAATTTGGATCTTATCTTTAGTAAGAATTCATAGAAGTTCCATATATCATTCAAAAATACAATCCAACAGATGTTGTTTATTATGAACTGTATCTATTCCAAGCTCCATTTGCTAACAGTGGATTAACATATATAACGAAAATGACTTCACATACAAGAGTGAAAAGTAGAAAAAGGATGTTGGAAAAAAGTACTAAGATATAGAGAAAAAAAAAACTAGTTACAAATGACCAATTCATTACCCTCCTAGACACTGGATATACAGTTACATCCCATCATTCTAAAAGATACCAATTCATTACCCTCCTAGACACTGGATATACAGTTACATCCCATCATTCTAAAAGATACCAATTCATTACCCTCCAAGACACTGGATATATAGTTACATCCCATCATTCTAAAAGATACCAATTCATCACCCTCCTAGACACTGGATATACAGTTACATCCCATCACTCTAAAAGATACCAATTCATTAGATTAAGCTTGGGATAGTATTGAAAGTACAATTTCAAGAGTGGGGTTTGGACTAGCCACATGAGCAACAGTACCTTTACAAACAAAATTTATACTGAGCAAGCACAAACAATTATGGCCACTAAAAACACTAATTAAACAGGTAAGACAAATTTAATGGCTAGTGTTAAGCTCTCACATTCAGCAGAAGTTGGCTTTTATTTACAATTGCATCAAATGGTAACAGCACTGATTTAAAAACAAACATTTTCTCATAGTTTTAAGTCATACTGTGTATACAATTTTGTAACAGTGATACTAGAAATGATGCTAGATTGTAAAAAGTATAAGGCTTAAGAGCTTTCTATTATAGTGGTTCCCAGCTGTGGACCTGCGCCTGTCCACGAGGGGAAAAAAGTTGGCTTTAAAATATTTTATTAGACTGTCTTACTATTATAATTTGTTATATTATAAAAGTATTTCGAAAAGTTAATACTGTATGAAGCAGTCCGTGAAATGTTTGAATCTGGACTAATTAGTCCTGAACTGGAATAAGGTCGGGAACCACTGATCTATTGTACTTACTTTCTTGTTGTTAAACAATTATACTCAATTGATGTATTTTTCTATAAGTATGCACTACTTTTCCATTGTAGAATACTGTGTGTGGGGGGTGGGGGTGGGGTAAACAAATTACAGATCAAGATTTGGTATAAGAGAATCTTGCTTGAAGTCTATCATTACAAATGTAATATTTTTAAGAAAAGCATAAGACAGGATGTAACATGTTGATAAAGCATCACTAACACCACAAAGTTATTTTAAAACAATTAATTTGGACAACTTATATAACTTAAACAGGCTTGTGTTTCAAATACTTATAGATAATAATAATAATACCAACAAAAAAAGCAGAATAGAAATATTTTCCTATGATACAATATCACATTACATAAGCTAAAATATTTTAATTCTTACCAAACACTGACAAAAAAGTCATAAATTAGTAAGTAGTCTTTACTTTAATATAACAAAGAACTCACCCCATCTATAGTTAGCTTGATCCACTGAATATGCATACTGTCTAGGATACTTTTTGTGGGCTTTCTTAGAAACTGTTAAAAGGACATGCAACATCATGCAGCACAACAAAACAACAGTACATGCATTGGTTAGTTTCACACAGTTTAACAACATGAGGTAAAAATTAGTGCCAACATTTAATTAGTATTCAGGAAACACAGAAATTCAAAGCTGACAAATCAAAAAGTTGAAGAATGGAATATCAGTCTAGGCTTACCATGCTGTGCTATGGTTAAGTTTGGTTAGCACAAGGAAATGGTCCTGAGCAAACCAACATTTTAGCTGTCAAAATATAATCTCCGAGGTAAAAATAAGGGTTTATCGTTTTCTTGTTATGGTTATTGGTGTTTTGTAATACATTATATATGTATACTACATTTAAAATTAAAGTTAAATAATTATATATATATAATAATAATAAAATATGCCCAAAAATAAAATAAAAGATGCTGCATAAATTAAAAAGCTCCCCAGGGTGCAGTCTATAATGAGAGATATAAATGTGACCCACATTATAGCCTGTACCATGGGGATCCTTTTAATTTATGCAGCATCTTTATTTTTATATATTATATTTTTTGGGCTTGTTTTGTTCATTTAAATGCAGTCCTTCCTTTTGATTTTATTTTCCTTGACTGTTTAAGTATTAATTTTTTAAATATATTTATATATAAGAAGAGGGAATCAAATGTTTAATACATTGCAAAATGAATATATCAGGTAAGTAATTATGCTCTTCTCACAAAAATCAAACAGATATTCTAAACCTAAAACTATTACTTAACCTTAGTGAATGAAATAATCTGCTCTCATTGGAACCAAGTTCTAAAACCTATAACTATTGTGTTACAAATGTAAATAGAAACACCCTCATGGCAATGGAGTTGAATAAAACTTATCAACCCAAAACTATTACTTAGTTTGTAAATAGAAACTGTCCACCTACCAGAGCCGTATAAAAGTCCTAAACCTGAAACTATTACCTTAGGATAGTTAAATAGAAACTCTCCTCCCATCAGTTTGATAAAAGTCTTCCACCTGAAACTATTACCTTAAGATGTTGAATGGAAACTCTCCTCCCCTCATAGTTGTATAAACTTCCTCAACCTGAAACTATTACCTTAAGATAGTTAAATAGAAACCCAGTTCCTGTTTGAGTCAAATCAAAGTTCGGTACCTGAAACTTTCACCTTATCAGAGAGAGATCGCTGAAGTTGAGTCCCAGAAGGATATTGGAACACTGGTAAATGAGGAAGGAAAGCATGCATAACAATCATAGAAACATGCTACAGCTTTAATCATGCGATATTTTAAGTGTTTAATGTAGATGATGATATCAAACTAATAATTCATATAGCTAAAAATTTTCTTCACATATTAATATATATATATACTGATACTCCTATACTAAAATTAGTTGGTAAGTTGACACTAAAACTAAACAGTTTGACACAGCAAATCTTAAAATTAATATTTCATTATCTAACAAGTACTCTACTTTAGGGTTTTATGTACCAGAAAATGAACAAGTTTCTTTGCTGGCTTAAATTATGGCTGAAATTTAATTAATGTCCGTATAAACAGAATAAAGTGATTATGAACTTCATATGTCCTGATGAAAAGGAAGTATCCATATATTTTGTGCTTTTTTATGCTTCTGACCATTTTGTAGACAAAAATAACTACAGTCTAATTTTTCTTTGTGTTGATTGGGTGAACAATCAGAACATTTGTTTTCTTGAGAAAGATTTCTATGATGTGACTTATTGTGGTAAATATATCTATGCTTATAAAATCACAAAAAACTCAGTTTTAACTTTAAGTTTTGATCTGACTTCAAACCAGAAATGCAGGAGTCAAATAAAAAGTGAAAAACTCGTAAGAGATTTCTAAAAATATCCAAAAATGAAAATTATTTCATACCATTATATATATACATACAAAATATCCAAAACTAAGCAAGCAAAAGTTACCAAACATAACACTTTGATACGAAATATTTTGTTTGATGATAGTAAAGGACTATCCCCTCCTTAGTTTTAAAAGTTTCAAACAACATTTATTGAGATTGTGAGATTCATATTCAATTATCAGGAATAATCAAGAACTAATGATAAATTAATTACAAATCTCAGAAAAACAGATGTACCACCTAACTCAAAACATAACACTTAAGTGTTTAAAGTTTTTCAACCTTTTATTCATGCCAGATTTTATAGTTTATAATTATTATTTTCAGCAGTAACTTGATAAGAAATCAACATCTATACAGATCACACAGTATGTTTTAATGGGCTTCATTCTATGTTAAGAAATGTTTTGTAGCTTGGTCAGATACTAGATATTGATATGTATATTTTGAATCAGTTTAATTATAAAAAACAATACAAACAATTATATACAGTAACTAACATTCAAGGTTTATTACTGCTTATTTTGATAAGCTAAGAAGCTAGTAAAATGTTTGAAAATGAACTGAATTTAAACTTTTTAAATCTACAAGCCTAAAACAAAAGTAAATAACATTTTGCTAATTTTGTGTTTATATTACATTAGGTTTAATTTTACTAGTAGTTCCACTACTTTTATTCACTTAATACATTAAAGGCTTATGAAATGAGCATTTTTACAGGTGCAGTGCATGTCATAATTACTGGAATAACCTTTCAACATGCTTTAGTAGAATGTAAATATATTAGTAATTATACAATCTCCAAAACCAAAAAGAGCTCCCAAGTACTCAGCAGCCAATCAGATCCGTAATAAATTATACTTGCTAGTCAGACAACTTGACTTGTTCTATAAACAGATATCAAAACATGAAACACACTACTATTTTCATATAATTGCAGTGTAAGATTGCAAGCTACAGCTAAAAAGGGCCATACAAACTCACCATCATCATCTGACATTGGAGAACTTGCAGAATAAGCCGAAGACCTTGAATCAGGAGTAGTGACAACCTCAGTCACAGAAGATACTTGTCCTGATTCGAGTGCTAAAATAATCGGCTTCAGTTTCTCTGGAACTTCACTCACTGGGAAAAAAGGAAGTACAAAAACTGAAATTACTTTTCCTGACACACGTGGTGAAGTATTTTTATCTATAATGAAAATGTCTTTCAGATAGGTACTTACCTCCTCTCACAAGATTAGCTATTCTCATCCAGTGCTGCCCTCTATATACAAACTAATTTCTTTACACATGCCACAAGCCTTCTGCACCCCCCTATTGAAATCAAATGATTCCAACATGTCTCTTATGCAAATCATCATGCATCACTTCTCCACCAACAGGAGTGTGACATACTCACATGACGCACGTGACTCCCTCTATACGCCTCTACCGAACTATCACTTCGTAGTTTGGCAGAAGATTTAAGCACTGGAAGAAAGTGGGAAGGAAGGGTGGGAGGAGGTAAGTACCTATTGGAAATACATTTTCATTATATGAAAATTATAACTTCTGATATGGTACTTACCTAGCTAGAATCCCACACTGAATAAGAGGCAGGACCGGTGCAAGGGAATGACAGAAGTAACCCCAGAAAGTGTCTGAAGGATACCGCTGAAAATGAGAGAGAATAAAATCTGCAGATCTGATGAGGGGAACCGCACCACTTCTGAACCAGGTATACTCTTCACCCATCCGTGAAATGTGTAGGAGATAAGGGCAGAAACAGAGAGGAGCACATCCAAGTGGGAGAGAACCGTGGCAGGATAGTGATCCCAACCAAAAAATGTATATGGAACTCAATCCCACATAGTATAAAAGTGGGTAAATTAATAGATGTGCCCATAGATGTAGAGTGGCTAGGGCATGACAGACCGTATTCAGTAAGTCAACTACATCCAAAACCCATGCTGCTGGGAACTGACATCCATGCAGGGGTAGGATGAGGATCATACCATCTTCACCTCAAGTTTAAGAGACCAGAGGGAAACTAGAACCACTCCAACTCCTGAGCATGACACATGATATTTTAGATTTATCAATCTGGGGACTTGACATCCAGTATCGAAACAATGTCTATATAATAAAAATCTCCCCCAACAGCGAAATTGACCAGAACCATCCAAAAAGCAATAACATCCTCAGCATAAGATACAACAACAACAAGGAATAGCAAAAAAGGACAGAACCAGAACAATCCCCCTTAACTCCACTGTGACCCACAACATAGATGGAGTATGATTGAGAGAGAAATATAGACAAACCATAAACATGTGTGAGGACTTAATGTTGATTGGTTCTACTCTAAATCCAACACCCAGCCTTGGGGTACCGACATCCACGTGGGGGTAGGATGAGGGCTCCCAATCGAAGGGTGAACTGCAATTTGACATCTCACTTCTTTGTGATTGTATAAAGAACACCAATGCCCTACTCTGCACTGAATGGTGTGGAACCCATTTAGAAGGGTGCCTCCACAGTCGACCACCCCTGCGGCTTGGAATTGAAAAGTGGTAAGGACTCTTGTAATTCACTTGAAGAAGGGGGAGAGTCCAGAGGAACGTCATCACCCGAGACAGTGCAATGGGTGACCACAAAACCCTATTTTGAAAAGCACACCATACTGATTTATTCAATACAATGGCAGGGATGGGCAGTTATCTCTTTCTGCTTTACCCATGCAGTCCATGGATGGTATGGTCTGGAACAGGCAAGTTCATGAAGCAAGTACATTGTGAGGTTATTCACCTACAAGCAATCTTGTGGAACACCCCATCTCAATGGTGAGCAATGCAAAGCCATGGAAGTTAAAGTCAACATAGTTGTACAGTGTGGATTTCTGATTGAAGAATACCTGGTCAGGCACCACTTGCCACAGAGTGGGATTCATATAAATAATAAATGAAGCAAGGGCCTCTGAAAGGAAAAGTATGAATATAAACTTACCCAGCCACAATTGCACTGCAGCTTAAAAAAAGGCCACAGGTAGAAGACAAAAAATCCAACGAAGAAAAACTGCGATATAGTGTAAATAATGAGCAATGAATGTATTATGTGTAGTCAACATGCCCTAATGTAGGATTTATTCCAATGCCAATGAAGACAAGAAGCAAGTGAAAAGGCGAGGTATTGAATCTGATGAGAAGACACCTTGAACAAATTCCAGTGGGAAGAAGACAAAGAAAAACAAGCCAGTTGAATTAAACATCAAACTTAACTGGTGAGGGTAGAAGGGGAAAGATCATGAACAGAAGAAGACTGCCAGGGGATAAAGAATCGGGAATGGGTACCACACAAGGAAGCCGTGCGAGCAATATAACACTGAAAGGTACTGATCGGATATAGAAGTCTATCCAGATTGGGATAAGAGTAGAGATGTGAAATAGAAGGGAATTATGTGAAAAGGAGGAGTTACCCTCCCTAGCCACTGAGGTTTTTGAGAGGAAAGAACAATCTGGATAAAGGAGAAGATAGGTAGGGTGGTAAAGTGTATGTGAAAGGTCAATGGCAAATAAATCAGACCTTTAACATCCACAGGCTTAGAGGAGAAGGAAATATGTTTTAATGAAAAGGTGAAACATTGAGCACAAGGAAACAGGTTCAAATGGAGGTAAAGTGAGGGATTGGAGGACCACCTTAAGGTCCCAGACCAGAAGACAAGCCATCTGGGGGACGATGAATCTGAAAGGAATGCCTTAACATGGTAAGAGCAGGATAAGCAAAAACTTGACAGTATCAGGAAAAACAAAAGGTATGGGAAAATATAGCCTGATAACCCAATAGTGAGGAGACCAAAGACCCCTGATCAAAAAGCCATGTGAGAAACTTAACCACACGAGCCACAATAGGTCGGTCAGCCAAGAATCCCTTGAGTTGCAGACCAACTGTGGAACACCTTCCACTGGCACTGATACACCACCACTGGAGAAGAACATAAGGAATAAGCCAAAAGGAAAGCTACTCTACAGGAGAAACCTGATCTCCTCTCTCAGGACTGGATAAAAGCCAGGCGTAAAAACAAAAGACATGAATGGCTGGATGTAGAACTGGTGACTGAAGTTGACAAAGAAAAGAGGGAGACAAGGGAAGGGAAACTGGAGTGAAAAGTCGTGGTTGTTGTAATCATGGAAACATGGTTGAGTTGGCCAATAAGGAGCGATCAGAAAGACTCAACACGGAGTGGTGTAGATGAGTAAGACTGCCCGATGAAGTAATTCAAAAGGATGATAAACATAGAGGAATTTGTGGGACCAAACCTGGCTGAAGATATCAACATCCAGAGCCCAAGGAAGAGGTACTGGAGGATTAATTTGTGATTGAGAGCTGTGGCAAGTGCATCTATGTGGGGATACCCCACAGAAAGCAAAGCCACCAGAATACGAGGGAATCTAATTGTTGTTGGGGTGGGAAAGACGATCCACTACAAGACCATGGCACGCAATGAGATGAATGTGATTCAATGCCAGACAGACTGCAAGAAGCTCGAGGAAGGTGATATATAAGGACTTCGCATCGACAGACCAATGACCCGAGGCCTCTTAGTGATTGACCCATGCACCCCAGCCCTGAAGGGATGCATCTGTTTACATATGTAAATCGTGACGATGAGGAGGAAGTGTGATGCCCATCGATGTATGGGTCTTGTCCAACCACCAAAGCAGATCGTCCATCAGGGTATGAGGAAGGGTAATGGGAGCCATGGAATCCCAAGCAGATTTCATTGATCATGAAGAGCTCACTGAAGTGATCACATGTCCATGACCAAGAGGGATCAGTGATGTCATTGAAGACCACATCCCCAAAAGCAATAGAACCTCGAGAGCAGAAAGTGCTAGAGCTGAAAGGACGTGGCGAACTGACAATTACATGGAATGAAGTAGTAGAGGAGAAGATTGTGCGCCTAAAGACACCCAACTGGACAAGATATCAGGTAGGACAGAGGAAGGACTTTTCCAATTTGATTAACCAGCCCACTCAAGTAGCCACTTGAAGGAGCTGATGAGCATAGCTGGCCAACTCCAGTTCAGAATGAACTAGAACAAGCCAATTATCCATATAATGGTGGAATCGCTGCTCAAGAGCATGAAGAATGCGAGCAAAAGCTCTCACTACTCGACAGAAAACATAAGGGGCAGAAGCAAGTCCGAAGGGTAGGGTGCAAAATTGGTAAACTACCCCTTGATGGACAAACCAAAGATATGGATGATTCCATGTGGAGATAGGTATGTGTAAATAAGCATTGGCAATGTCAATCTTTGTCATCCAAAAGTCTGGAAAAAATGCCCACCGTAGGGTGATAAATGACTCCATGGTAAAACGGGGCACTTCAACAAATTGATTGAGGCAGGACAAATCGATGACAGGCCTCCCGTCGACGATTTTCTTAGGAACAACAAAGAGTCTGGAATAAAAACCTTGTGAAAGATGTAGAATAGGTTCGATGTCCTGCTGAGATAGTAGGTCCTGAACTGCCTCTGATAGAAGCTAGCCAGAAATTGGATCCCAACGTGTAGGGAAGGAACAAGTATAGAAAACATGGGAGGTGGGGAAAAAAATGGGATCACAAATCCATCTGATAAAACTTGAAGAAAATCGGTAAGTCGAGCTCCCATGGGACTAGAACCCACTAGGTAGTCACCAATACTGTTGGCAACGTGGAAAGGAGGGACAGATAAGGGTTGGGAAGGGGAAGGACAAGAAACTGGAACAGGTGACATATTGGGCTCTGACTGATGCAAACGGGCAACAAGATTGGAAAGGGTATACTGTTGTTGTACTCATGCAACATGAGACTCCAAGGATTCAGGGATCTTGTCAAGTACATAACGTTGCAAAAATGAGTTCAAATGAAAATCCCGAAGATGCCAGTAAACGGATGGAAGTTATGGTCGCATCCCAAACTAGAAAGTTCGAACAACAGAGAAACCACACATTCAAACACAGAGCTAAAGATGATAAATGAGCCAACTTGGAAGAAAGAAGGGAAAGAATGTCACCAGAAAACCTCTCAAGATTTCAGTGGAGAGCCTCAGAGAGAAGATGGATGGCAGAGAGATACTGTAAAGGAGTTGTGAGGGTAAAATAAAGGCAGGAAATTGAGCATGGGTTAGAGTTACAGGAGATTCAGGGACTGTCCCCCAAACAGGTAAAACAGAACCTAACAAGTGTTAGTCTAGAAAGGGTCAGTCTGTATCGATGATATGCAAGAGCAAACTGATTCAAAGCCTACGTGGGAAGAGGCATGCTAATGCCATCATTTAATTCTGAAGCAAATTGGTCAGCATGTACCCATATATCTGGGAATGGGGGAAAACCAATAGTGATGTGAAGATAGGTCATGTAATAAGGAAGGAAGCACTTCATAAGAATATGGGCAAGGGATAAAACATAACGTACCTGAGAAACAAAGTCCAAAAAGACCATAGTAGGACTAACTCAATCCTCAGGAGGAGCATGGGAAGGCATGGCAAAATCAGAAATAGAAAATAGGCGATCCAAATCCTCGTCAGCCTGAACAGGCTCAGCATGTTCGGGAGGAAGTGGGTCAAAGTCCAGAGATGGAGGTTGACCCAAATAATGTTCAATCTCCCACCAGGTCACCCGCACCTGAGGCCTGTGACAAAGCGCTAGTCGCAAGTGTGACTCCCAAAATGGTAGCATAAACTTCAAATTTCATAATCAAGAAGAGTCAGCCAAAACCAAAATTATAAATAATAATGCAACTAATAAACTGGGATTAAATGAAAGTAAAGAAACAGTCTAAATAAACTTGGAAGCAATTTATATGGAAAATAATTTGTGAGTATACTAAAGCTGAATGTGAAACTTGTAACAAACAAACTCGCCCGAGCACAAGCACTACCAAAAGAGAAGTGATAGTTCAGTAAAGGCATATAGAGAGAGTCACATGCATCATATATGTTGTGCTCCTACTGGTCGAGAAATGACGCATGATGATTTGCATGAGAGACATGTTGAAATCATTTGATTCTAATAGAAGGGTGCAGAAGGCTTGTGGCATGCATGAATAAAAAATTTTGCATACAGAGGGCAGCACTGGACAAAATTAGCAAATCTTATGAGTGGAGATAAGTACCACATCAAAACATAACGTGCTTGTCATGGCTCTTCTACATTAACATAGATGCATCATCATCTTACAATATTTTACAGATACTTCAAAGCCTTTAACATAATCTCCATTATGAAGATGTGACATAGAAAATAATAGCAGATTTACTCCTTCAAGTAATAAGATCTGTGCTGTTAAAAGTTTTTACCAACAAATTTCCATTTAGTATCCTTTTGGCTCACATAGCAAGCACATTATGAAGTTTATTGAACATAAAGATTAATGATTAGTTCAAGCTTAAAAAAAAAGTTTAAGGCAAAATAGATGGCATCTTAGTGTAAGCTTTTCTAAAACTGTCTCAAGTAAAAACAAGAGGTTTCTGTAAAAATCCTGAAACTTTATAAATAAGATTTTAATCATAACTTTTCTATCACCTATAAACCTTATCTTTTAAATTCAGAATTTTTAAAATTTAGGATATACAAGACTACTAAATAATTAGTGCCAAAGCTAAGATTAATACCTACAAAACACCAATATTCTCACCCTTTTCTCCTTTTTGCTTTTTCTCCATTATCCTCTTGTACTGGTCCATCTCTTCTTCTGTTAGATTGTACACCACGGTGGTTGCGTTAGTCTGAGTTCCTTCCACATCATTCATTACTACTTGTTCAACTGTGGTATTCTGATGAGCATTAGAAAACACTTTCAACTAAACCTGTTTTTTAAATGTGTTAGCTACTGCTGCCAAGCTCTTAGTGATGTAATAAACCAGATGTCACTGCTTTATATTGTGAATACAATACTGTTCAGAATGTTTTGTTAATGACTGATTGAAATCAAGACAATAAAAGTTGATTAATTTTGGTTTTAAACTAATACCAAAGTACCTTTAGCTCAATATATACTCACCAACAATGGATAACCAACAAGCTTTTCTAAAACCATCTATGGTATTAACTACAAAGTACATAATGTTAAGATGTTAAAACAATCACAAGATATCACAAAGTATGTAACAAACTTTTTAAAACAATCACAAGATACTAACTACAAACTACTTCACGTCAATACTTTTTAAAATAGTCATGTAATACTAACAGGGATGGAAACAAACAGTATTATATTAATGTTAGAGAGAATGTAGTACAAGTGTGAAGATGTTCATGTATGATTTTCTAAAAAATAGCAATTGAATTATTTAATTTTTTCTCCTCTTTAATGCACGTAAAATAAGTACCGTGTAGACAATGCACTACACCTCACTGAAAGAGGGATATGTCAGTAACTTAATTCATCTAGTAATAATACTTCTTAATTGGAAAACAATTTGATTAGTGTATGCTGTAACTTATCACAGGTTTGACAGATTTCTGCCTGTCATGCAAGGAAATTTCAAACTGACAATTTTAATTTTGTAATGATAAAATGTCATATCGTGTTAATTGTTACAGAATTTCAATTGTAAAAACTAGATATCAGATCTCAATAAAGCACAAATATGGATGAGTAGAGTAGTGTTAGAATGTTGACTGTATTCTGCCATCTTTGTTAAAAATATGAAGATTAATTGCATGGGATGAGGAATTTTAATGATTTGTTCATTAGAGGAATACAAGCAGCTGCTTTAAAAAAGGATGGTGTTGTAAAGTCTGTTGAAGATACTTTCAAAACACCACCATTAGCCCATGCATGTCATAGTGGAGAACAGCAGAACAGGCAACATGTTTCTCATTTCACATTTTCTACTCACAAAAAACTGCCATTTGAAAACTTTGAAGATTTGTAAAAGAAACATGGAGAGCATATGAGTACCACTTATAACAACAGACAAGGGTACAATAGATTTATGCAGACATCTGGCAAAGTTCTGGGGAAGAACTTTGTAAAAGAACATAAAACATCAATTTTTTTTCACTTCTCCTCAATGGAAAATTCATACTGCAAATACAGAGAAGCTGCTACTGTTTGTGAAGTTTGTATCAATGGATGGGGACATAAAAAACAGCTTATTGAGGCAGGTTTGTTTTTAATTTTACATTATCTATTAATGTGTTACATGAAATTTATCATCATAAACAAGAGATTATGTAATATAGTTTTCAAATGATAGTCTTGCAGTCCAGTAATATACATGTAGCTAATCATACCTCTAATATACATTTTGATAGACAACTAACGGACATAAAACCTCCTACCATAGAGAGGGTTACACATAGCAGAACTCGAAACTTGTAGATAACTACAATTATAAGAGAAACTGGTTGGCTTGTTCACTGACAGTACTGTGGTGATTTTAGGCATGAAGAAAACTCTTGCTGTTCACCTGAGAGAGAATTGATGACTTATAGCTATTCACAGTCTTAATCAATGTTATGCATTTTTTGTACAAAATCAATATCGAACTTTAGAGATGGTAGAATTTGTAAGTTGACAACTATGTTCAGATTTCAGTTTTACTTTAGCTTGCTACTAAAGAATTCAAGGAGACGTACTGTGATAAAGTGGTGGACATCTGAACAGCCCTTTTCTGTTTGTACCAAATAAGCCTAAAAAAAAACACTTGGAGAGCTGAAAAGAGTTAGGGGACTTTTTTAGGAACAGAGATAATTCAGTCATGTTCAAGCAACACAACATGAACACAAGTATAAATCAACCGAAGTTCTGTTGCAGCCTTACCATGTCATAATGCAGCACTTAAAAAATGGTAGTGGCAAACAAATCTCAAAAGCAAAAAGGGGTTTTAAAAATGCTGACACCTACAACGTCTGTTTTGTATTTGGTGTTCTGTGATGAAATACTCTTTTCACAAAATGCTGACACCTACAAAGTCTGTTTTGTATTTAGTGTTCTGTGATGAAATACTCTTTTCACAAAATGCTGACACCTACAAAGTCTGTTTTGTATTTGGTGTTCTGTGATAAAATACTCTTTTCACTGACAAGATTTTCTCTAAATTTGTAAAGCAACAATACTAATTTCTTATATGTTTTGTCTTGTGTTGAGGCAGCACATGCAGGAATGAATTATAGTAATGCTGGTAATCCTGCATGCAAAGAACTGCATGTGCTGTTAGAGGAAAATGTGGGAGATAAGAAATGCAGAATTGGAATACATAGTTACTTTTACAAATGCCAGGGGAGTCACTGAATTCTTTACATCACACAAGGATATGTATGTGGAAAAAATTAAAAATGTATCACAAACAAATTAAGACTTACTGAAACTAGACCTCCAATTTTGAGTTGGTTGAAGATATTGGACATTGCAGCATGTAATGCATATGAATCATTAATGTCTGGTAATAAGGAGCTGGGTACTTTATTTGATCAGTGTTAAGGAATTTAGGTGTGCATGTAAATGCTAAATAAGTCCTTTCTGAATGGAATGAACATGCACTTCAGATATAGAAGTCTTGGGCATCTGGAAAAAACAATTCTGAAAAAGGATGATTGGTATGTACAAACTGCAGTTTCCAAATTTAAATTATGTTCTGTAAGTACTTTTAGTGATACCAATGTCCAATAGGACTATAGAAAAAGGTACTGGAACATCAGCTCAGAATCAAATTGCAAGTACTTTTAGTGATACCAATGTCCAATGCAACATCAGAACGATCCTTTTCAGCCATGCAACATGTTAAAACTGACTAAAGGAAAGGGTACTGGAACATCAGCTCAGAATCAAATTGGAGGGTCCTAGTCCTAAGGAGTTTGATCCTAATCCACTCACTGAGAGATATTTTGCATTGTTATTTAGACAGCCTTCTGCAAGGCCTTTTGTCTCTTAGAGAAACCCCCCAGAAGTTTTACATTTTCATTATAGTTCAAAGTAAGATTAATGTAACAGGGGTACCAAGGCTATAATGTTGTATCTTAATTGTAAAATTATAATTCACTTCAGCCTTGTTGTACCTGTATTCAGTTGTGGTGATAAGGGATCATATGTTTTGTTGGATACTTTTTAGGTTTTTTCATGAGACAGCAGCACTTGAGTAACAGGATAGATCCATTTACAAGAAATAATCACTAAATCCTTCCCCGACACGTTATCCTATTAAAAATATGGTGACTACAGTATCTGTCTTATTGAAATTAATTTATTATTTACTGTAAAGCAGTAGTTATGTCTTCGTGTAGCATCAACATTATTTTCAATCCTTTAGTCACTGGAATGCATATTACAAGCCATTAGCAAAATGCTCAAGTAACTTAAAATGTTTACCACAGATTTCAGAAAAGGGTTCTGCATTAAAACAAATAGAGTAAACCTTCTTGTGATAAGTGTTAGTTACAAAGAATGTTTTTTTTTATAAAGAATAATATTAGTAGGATTAGTGTTAATATACTCAGTGAAGGAGAGGTAAGGCTGTTTACATGGAAAAATAACAAATGTATTGTTGTAAGTTTACATTTCAAAAACAGTTTAACCTAAAAAATTGTAAAACAAGTGAACCTTTTTAATTTTAGCTAAGTCATTTTCTAACAACAGAAAATTAAGCTATTTTAAAGAAAACAGCAAGCTATACGCAAAATAATTCAAATAAAAGTAAAATATTTTTTTAAAACTGAATCTTGTAATATTTTTAACATACAAACTATTTCTTTGATGGAATTTGTTGATATAGAATTTTATTGATTTAAAAAGTGCATTACGTTGTTATTGCTACACAAATTAGATTAAGTTGCAGATTTCCTAAACAAATGGAAATTATTTCCATCCTTTTGTTTAACTACCAAGTATGTAATGTCAAGGCTTATAAAACTATCATATGACAGTAACTGCAAAGTATGTAATGTCAAGGCTTGTTAAACTATCATATGATACTAACGACAAGGTGTGTAATTGTCAAGGCTTTTTAAAACTACCATATGATACTAACTACAAAGTATGTGATGTCAACTTTTTAAAACTATTATATTATATGATAGTAACTACAAAGTATGTAATGTTAAGGCTTTTTAAAACTACCATATGATACTAACTACAAAGTATGTAATGTTAAAGCTTTTTAAAACTACCATATGATACTAACTACAAAGTATGTGATGTCAACTTTTTAAAACTATTATATTATATGATAGTAACTACAAAGTATGTAATGTTAAAGCTTTTTAAAACTATCATATGATACTAACTACAAAGTATGTAATGTTAAGGCTTTTAAAACTATCATATGATACTAACTACAAAGTATGTAATGTCAACTTTTTAAACTATTATATTATATGATAGTAACTACAAAGTATGTAATGTCAAGGCTTTTAAAACTATCATATCATATTAACTACAAAGTATGTAATGTCAAGGCTTTTAAAACTATCATATGATACTAACTACAAAGTATGTAATGTCAAATTTTAAAACTATCATATGATACTAACTACAAAGTATGTAATGTCAACTTTTAAAACTATCATATGATACTAACTACAAAGTATGTAATGACAAATTTTAAAACTATTATATGATACTAACTACAAAGTATGTAATGTCAAGGCTTTTTAAAACTATCATTGAAATACAAATACACAGGAGACTGAAGAAATGGAAGTAAGCTAAATGAATGAATAAAAACAAAAGCTTTATTTCTCCAACAAGGTACAACTTGGGCTTTACCAAAGTTATCTGGTTTCATGTTTTGAGAACTATTTTCTAGACGCTGGAGCCTACAAAGACAAGACCATTTCATATCCTGTTCATAAGGATGAACTACTACAAATAGTACAACCGCACAAAAATTTACCAAATGTATTCTTTCTTGATATAGTAGGGTGAAATATAGTAATTCTTTCAACTATGTCAAGCTAAAAGGAGCATGTATAGACATCGTCCAACTGATGGTACTTAAAGAATGCTATTTCAAACTGCACAATTCAACTGATGGTATCTATATGTAGAATCATACACAGACTTTTTTTATATGTTAAAATACTTTTATTTGTGAGCTTTCGCCCTCTTATCGAGGCCTTCATCGGGCAACAACATTCTGAGCAATAAAAATTTGTTAAGCTGTGGAACACTGCTTTAAGTTAGGTATCTAGGTAACAGTCGTAACAAAAACCGACATCTGGTATTAAAGTTATTAAATATATAGAATTATAATGAATATATATAATATAAATTGATTGCTTTGATATAATAAACATAGGGAAAATACAATTATAGGTATTAATAGAGATATACAAAATGAAGGAATTTTTAAATTTCAAATAATACATTGTAAAATTAAAGGTTTAATTTTACATCAAAACCATGACAAATAATATGCTTTATGTCTTTAATCACTATGAAAAGAAAAAAGGCATTTCTTCCTTATGTACCAGGCCTAGGAGAAAAACTTTGTTTGATAATGAATAAACTTAACATCACTGTAGTTTTCTTAAGTCCTCCTACACTATGTGACAATCTTACAAAGGTAAAATCCCCAATTCCCAGTCGCCTCAAAAAGAAAGTGGTTTATAGCACTAGGTGTGAATGTAATAAACAATACATTGAGGAAACACAAGGCCTGTTACAGGTAAGGTTCAAAGAACACCAAAGAGATAAGAACTGTACTATAAACACACCAGCTATAGCTTTTCACATTCAGGAAAACAATCATAATAATAGATAGAGAAGAAAATAGCAAACATGGAAAAATCAAGGAAGTTATTGCCATCCAAGCACATGACAGTGGACCACCAGTTGGAATTATTCAAAACAATGGCCAACAACTACTCAATACTGCATGGACACCACTAATAAAAAACAAAGCATGTTAGTTGTCATGGTTTTGATGTAAAATAATTTTACAAAGTATTATTTGAAGTTTACAAATTCCTTTATTTTGTATTTCTCTAATAATACCTATAATTGTATTTTCCTGATGTTTATTATGTTAATCAATTAATTTATATTCTATACTTATCATAATTCTATATGCCTGAATAACTTTAATACCAGATGTCAGTTATCTATATAATGCCCTAATTATGCTCAATACAAATGATGGTACCTACAGAATGCTATTTGAAACTATGAATGTTTCAAATGATGGTAGTTAAAGAATACTATCCCAAATTATGTACATTTCAACTAATGATGCTTAAAGAATGATATTTCAAACTATGCACATTTCAACTGATGGTATCTAAAGAATGATATTTCAAACTATGCACATTTCAACTGATGGTATTTAAAGAATGATATTTCAAACTATGCACATTTCAAGTGATGGTATCTAAAGAATGATATTTCAAACTATGCACATTTCAACTGATGGTATCTAAAGAATGATATTTCAAACTATGCACATTTCAACTGATGGTATTTAAAGAATGATATTTCAAACTATACACATTTTAACTGATGGTATCTAAAGAATGATATTTCAAACTATGCACATTTCAACTGATGGTATTTAAAGAATGATATTTCAAACTATGCACATTTCAACTGACGGTATCTAAAGAATGATATTTCAAACTATGCCCATTTCAACTGATGGTACCTAAAGAATGATATTTCAAACTATGCACATTTCAACTGATGGTACCTAAAGAATGATATTTCAAACTATGCACATTTCAACTAATGGTACCTAAAGAATGATATTTCAAACTATTTACATTTCAACTGATGGTATTTAAAGAATGATATTTCAAACTATGCACATTTCAACTAATGGTACCTAAAGAATGATATTTCAAACTATGCACATTTCAACTGATGGTATCTAAAGAATGATATTTCAAACTATTTACATTTCAACTGATGGTATTTAAAGAATGATATTTCAAACTATGCACATTTTAACTGATGGTATCTAAAGAATGATATTTCAAACTATTTACGTTTCAACTGATAGTATTTAAAGAATGATATTTCAACTTATGAATGTTTCGATTGCAAACAAATCATCAATTTTTCACATTTCAACTGATGGTACTTGAATAATGCTGTTTATCTCTTTTCTGATGTATAAAACAAGCAACTTCAATACCTAAGTTAGCCCAGCGTAGTTTTCTATGCCCAAACACAACTAATAGTATATAATTTAGGTACAGTATTCCCCTGTTATGATATTTGCATGTTAAATGAGAATAACTACACTCAATAAAATAGAAGAATACAGTGAAAGCTTTTATTAGAAACAATGTCACACAATACAGCTGGAGATTTTCCTGAAGAATTAAACATGACAAACACCCCACGACAGCAGAAGCACCTTACATTTTTCTTAAGGAAAGTGAAACTTCCAAATTCAATTAAAAGAGATCTTATATTTATGGAATATGATTTTCAATCTTCACTTTAAAAGCTTACAGAAACATGTTTTGAACAAAATTTTTACAACAACCATTTCCAATTAAATTTTGTAATCAAAGATTTTTTTTCTGCTTAATAGTTAATAGATTTAATAGTAAAATCCAAAAACTGAACAACTGGTATATTTACAAGCACTACCACATGATGTCTTTGCACAGAAAGATACAGCAGGAACATTAATTATATTTATCTACTAAAGTGCATTCCATTAGCATTTTTAACTACCTATAGTCAATTAATTACATTTTCAATAGATTTCAAGTTAACTTTTCTCAGGTGTGAAACACTACAAAATTTTGTTAACAAATAAAATGCATTATAAGAAACAAATTTTGTTTTCATACTGCAAGTTACAGAACAATCTTGTTCTGTAACTTGTTATTCAGTCTCACAGTTTTCATTTTCATTACACCAACCAGGAAGAAACCACATACTTTAGCTCATTCAATTAAAAAAAAGAAAGAAAAGAAGACTGTATTGGATAAGGCATTTTCCCGAACAAACGTCACAGTTCACATCTCCATTCATATCTACATGCATCTCACTTAAGAGCAAACTGAGAATGGGTTTAAGTCTCACGGGCCTATCATGGAAACGTGCATGAATATACATAAATATGCAAAACACAAGACACTGATAACACATAACAGCAAAGTCCAGGCAAAAATTATCACATGAAAGGCACAAATACAATATACCAAGAACGGGTTACACATCCTTATAACCAGGTGACAATAGAGGTACTCTTAATGTATATACTTTCACACATACTCACTGCTACCAACTACAAGTATTTCAGGTGTCAGTAAATGACAGAATGAGCCAGTGGAACAACTCTGATGCATGAGGGCCTTAACTTGCATTTCATGATTTACGAGCATCTTCACACCATTGGACGTCAAAGCCCTTTAAGTCATACAGACTCCTTTATAGTTTTCTATTCTGGTAGTCCTTTTTTGATGTGATTGGCAGTGGTTGCACAACCTAATTATATACCTTTTTTGAAAAACTCAGCTTTATCAGCTAAGAAGACACCATGTTATGAATCAAATGATTCTTGCAAACAATAAGTTCTCTGTAACTGGAACATGAGCCCAAGCAAAATGTAGGGAGATCCTGTGACTTAATCTTTGTTTAAAAATTAAGTTTTTCATATGGGTTTTCAAAACTGAATTTCTTTTATGTGAGTAATTAAGATACAGACTAAATATTGCAAAATGTGCACAAAACAAAACTTTTCCATTTGTAACATTTCAACTGCCCATTTTCACTAAACCAACTGTAAACATTTTGCCATTGTGCAAACTCTGTTACTACTTGTAAGACAACTCTATATAATGTACTTTACTGATACAATTTCAGATATTAGTTCTTTTAAATGATAAGTTCTAATAATTGGTAAATGTTTAATTTCACAGGCTATTTTGCCAATTTAAAATTCTTGCACACTTTTCACTTTACATTTTTTTCTACAACTGATTGACCAAGTTCTAACAAATACTTCTTTACACAAAATATAAAAAAACAAAAACATTCGTTTATTAACTTGCATCATGTCAAACTTGAGATAAGAATTCAATGGTACTGCCTGGCTGAGAATAAACAACAAATCTTTAAAAAAATTGGACTTGGAAAAAAACAATTGCTAGTGAGACCAAACTAGCATGCTCCAACACTTCTGAAAGTTATATACTTCTGTATACAAAGACTGAGATCCCTCGTACACAACCAAATTATTCTTGTGGGCCTACAAGTTTTATTTATGTTTCATATGATACTCATCTACAGTTTATAATAAAAGTATTACATTTTACTTAGAATAATGTATTATAACCACTCATAATATTGCAAGAATATCTGTTTTTTATCATGAAATACAAAACCAGTAATTCTAAAGCAAAGTATTATATTACTAGGCAGTATGCTTAAGTCATCTTACATGTAAATAGTTACTCACAGAATTGGTTTCCTTCACACAGATATCTGAAACTTGGCATCTTTGAAATTTATTGATGACTACATATTTTAAATATTTTTACCAATCTATTAGATTATGTACAAATCTACTTGAACCTTTGAAACAGATTTTTTGTTTTGGTATAGGATCACCTGGTTTACAATACGATATTTACATAAATTCTGTGTTTCTTACCTTGTTGCTTTTAAGGATATGTCAAGAGATTCAAAGTAAATAAAACTAACCTCTGTTTGTGCATCAGGAGAATGGAACTGGGGGGGTGAGGTGGTTTTTATTGGGGTGCTGTGGGGTGGGGAACTCTCCAGATCAAACTACAGGTAGAAAAACCAAAGTATAAAGAAAACTATTAAAAAAATGAAACAACAAAACAATACTAAATATAAACAAAAAGGGCAGGTTAAAAAGGAAACTAAAGGATAATATCATGCAGTAAATCAGTTATAAAATAATTAGTTTAATAAATCATGATGAATGGGGAAATAAGTGCAATAGGGTTAAATCATACAAAGCTCCTATGGTTATGTTGTTATTAACTAAATCAAATTTTGTCTATAAGGCAAAGTATACAAAAGAAGGAAGAAAAAAAAGATGGGTTTCAATTCACTAGTTCAGTGTATCACTAACAGTTTAAAACCAGCTCAAGCATAACTGTTAATGTTTTTTGCACACCAGGTTCTTCCAAATGACTTTCTAGAATACATAAATAAATTTTAATTTCAAACACAACACAACAACAAATATAGCAAAAACTAGTATCACCCAAGATACGCCATTATATATTATTTATGGCAAATTTTACTACATTTTCTCATGTATCTGTCTTTTCAACAGTCTATTTTGATTTTTATTCTTTTAATGTAAATTACCTGAAGATATCAAATATTCATAGTTCTGTTTAACAGCTAATATGTACTTAAATAAATAAGCTTCTGCATTATCTAGTCACAGCAGAATGTTTTCTGCATAAAACAGACAATAAATGTTACTTAATGAAATATGGCTTGTATTTTTCACTAAAAACATCAGTACAACTCTGACCTTAGGAAACTTCTAACAAAAAAACTTAATAAAATACAACAATGTTCTTTCAATAGCTTCAAAAACACTTGTCTACACAAACACACAACCCAAGTTTGTGATACACGTAACAATTTAATTATCACTAGCTGAATACAGATGAATTAGCTCCCACTTCCCATTTTCTAAAGCATAACAGCACTAAATACAAATAGAAGTATTATTAAACTAATAAAATGAATTATGTATAATGTGGTAAATACAAAAAAACCTTCAACAGTTAAATTAAAACTTTCTGTACATGTCCAGAAATACGATTTCAGGATGAGTTTTTTCCTACCTTCTGATAACAAGTTGCATAGTTTTATATATCAATTTATTAGCATTTATTGCGATAAATAGAGATTTTTTTGTCAAATTAAGGAGAAAAGATCAAAACTGTATTATAAATCTCTGTTAATGTTTAACTTGTCACAATTATAAGCATCTTTGTAACTGTGGAAACCCTATGATGTTCTCTTCAGTTATCTGCTCCACATCACCATTTTTAAAACTAGATGTATACATCAATACAAAAATTTTAAAACTATGAATAACCCTAAAATATTCCTTAAGTCTAAAGATGTAAAAGCACACTTTTCTACTAGTAACAAGATGTGTGAAGAATTAGTAAATGACCCAACTGAGGAAGTCAAAAAAAGACATCCAGAAAAACTTCTCAATTTTGTTTACCTACTTGAGTTAGGAAAGAATTACAAATCCTGAGAAACCTCAAAATTCATTCCCATCTATTAGTACCATTTGCATTAATATTTTAACCCTACAAATACCTGGATTGTGAATAAAGTATTTAGACAAAAAGTTCCATTACAACTTCATTAAAATTATCTAATTAATAGCATTACCCAAATTTCAAGTATTGCATTTTTTTTCAAACTGCATTTATAATACTAACAACTTTAACTGTTTAACAGCATGGTAGGAACAAAAGCAAAACAGAATAATCTAATCAGTACATAATGCTAAAAATTCATTACATAACATTCAGAGTAAAAGAAGAGGGAAATAACTTAACAGTGTAGAAAGAAAGAATGTGATAACAAGGAATCATATCAAAGACAATGTAAGGAAATAAACACAAGCCCAGTAAAGGACTTAGAACTTGCCAAAGTAATTAAGAGAACTCTTAAGTATCTGGAATGCAGCCTGCAGATTTTAGAAGTAAAAAGTGAACACAGTTTGTGAGCAAAGAACCTGAATTTGAGGGCTTAGAAAGTTATTAACTACAATTAAACAATGCCTTGGAAGCACAATACCTTCTTTATACACATCTTCTTTCTTAGTTGATCTTGAGTTTAGCTTACAGACTTTTTAAAAACATGTAATTTTGGATAATATGACACTCTAAGATACTTTATAATGCAAGATGCAGCAACATTTTTTCAAAAAATACAAAGAGAAATCACCACAATCATTATATAGTTAATACTCCAAAATCTTTACAAGAGATTCTCATTTGACTGTTTTCAAGAAAATTAAAATCTGTTTTTATGCAATTGATGGTGCAATGAACATGTAAACATTTTACTTGAAGGTAGTTAAATATATTTGACAGAAATGTTCCTCAGAAAGTCAAACTATTTATTATAATATACTATTGTATAAGAATTTACAAAATTCAGGAAAAAAATCACTTTTTGGTTTAATTATTACAATTCATAGCATGAGTTACATCAACATGTTCTGACACTGACTCTCCTTGTAGATGAAAAACAAATACAAAAAATTAGCATGTTACACTAATATCAAGTGAAAACAGGTTTCTAAGTGCTCAACACATTATAACACAAGTATTACAGCTGCACTAAATAAAGTGAATCTTATGTTAGCTCTGTACCAGCATTTCAGAAGAAACAAAACATACTTGAAGAGTATGCTTTACACACTCAAAGCCCGAGTATCCTGTGTTTGTTCTACAGTAAAGTACGTTAAAAAAAAAGATCTAGAGATGACTTATAACTGTCTATATTTCTTGAATAATTGACTCATGATTCCAGTTAGACAAGTAATTTCAACCGTTCACTGAGATACCTTGCTGGTTTTTTTGGAACTAGTGATGGTGGTTTCTGTAACTTCTACTTTCTGTTGAATGCTGGGAGAATTCACCCAACGAAGCTTATCTTGAGTCTTTTTACCTTCCAATAGCTTCTTCAAAGGACTGTTAGAGGAAAGCAAAAAACTATTAGTCTACTAAGTATTCAAAGGCATCTTTTACTTGATCCTTAAACAAATTCCACCATAATAAGCCTTTTCTAATAAAGGTTCCCTTTTGTTAGGTAAAAATTCTATTACTGGATAGCAAATAAAATTTGCTGAGAGGCTTATTATTATCATTATATGTCTAACTTTGCATATTCCACTATAGGAAACTTCTGTCTCAAATCACGCCTGATACTCAAAGAAACAGTGAGGTCTCACAAGAGATAAGATTCATGACTTACTACAATACTACATCCACCAACTCTATGTTCAATTCAAATTCTCATGATTAAACAAGTAAAATTCCTTTTTTTCCTTATGGGTTCTGTGTTTCTGGTACTTGTGATTTTTGTAAAAGTAATGGACTAGGTAAGAACATACACACACTACATTTACCCTTGTCTTAGTTGAAATAATTCTTATCTCAGCCCATCACCTTCTTACCTTAACCACTTGTCTTCATCTACATAACCAGAGAGGGATGCTGCTGGTGGAGCTTCAATGTCATTCCTCACACGTGGATCTTCGCTTTTCACCAACTGACGGAACACATAACCTGTCCTAAGGCCCTATTAACAGTTATTGTTTTGTTAACTAATTTTTTGCACAAACAGTACCAAAATAACAGAAAAATAATTGACTGGAAAATGAAATATATAAAAATTCCAAATATTGTAGGGTTAGAAAAAAACTGATATCTCAAAGGAGGATTGATATTCAAAAACACTTACTAGAAATCACTATTTTCTATCAGATGACATGGAAAGAAATATGTTTCAGACAAGAGACTTTTCTCTTTATTATCAAAACATCTCTTACACAATTGTCATACTTTCAATGCAGTTTGGAAAATATATTTTTACATATTATCACTAGACATGACATAACACACCAACTATATGAAAGTCGGTTTTAGTGAAAAATAAACATTTTCACAAATAATCAGTAAACATATAATAACAGAGAAAGCAGTAGCCACAAAGCTTAAAAGATATTAGAACTTTCAAATTAGATTCTAACAAAAATAGATAAAACTGGATTTTTCCAATTTCATTGCTGACAATGTTGAGCAATGAGTAAACTTTCTATGATACTTAGAAGCCATTTATTGCTGTCACAGACAATTATGGAGAAATATTCTTGTTGCAGAGGGCTATTATATATTATTTAAAGATGTTCTGGGGCTCGATTTGAGTCCGGATCTAAATGTAGCATATTCTTTATTCCCTCAGCTAGGTGACCCTTTGTACTAACTATTTATATGGTGTAGTAACAAAAAAAAATTTTAACTTATAAGCCTTCTGATGTCACTTATTTCAGGATAGTCTTTCACTATGAAGAAATTTCTCAAATGAAAATGATACCTTTAATTGTGTATTCATTTGGAATGAAAGGTTAAAATATTTTACTAATTTGTGATTAAATGTTCCTATGTTAGAAACTAGGCCTGATGAGACAACTGTGTGTCATATAACTGATTATGATCATAGAGGTATATGCAAGATTACATAGAGTGGGACAAAGGGAAGAACTTGCCCCCTCCCACTTCTTTTATGTGGGATCTCGTATAAACATGCCAACCACAATAATTAAGTCAGGCTTTTTTCTGCCCTCTCCCAAGTACCACCCATGCCTATAGGACATAATTCTTCATAGGCTGAATGATTTAAACACTCATCCTTTTTTAATTACATATTTTTGTAGGCTGTTTTTTACAAGCGCTACTCAGATCCATTGGTAATAGTACTGAATCTCAAATATGTATTCTTTATGACACATCTAAAGTACGTACAACCAACTGCCCCGTCAGAACCATAGTTTTTAAAAGAGGAGAAGTACATGAGAATAAGGTTCATTTATAAACCAACCTACACTTGTCTGTATTCTCATCTGGATAATTTTATTTCAATAGAGTATAAAATTAGTTTAATACAGGTTCTCGTTCACCACATCTATCAACTGTCTCAGACATCTGAGGGTCTTCATGATCAGCTGTAACAGTTGGAGCAAGTGTTATAAGTCAATGTCTACCAAATACATTTTACTGATTCTGTGGTTAATTTTTACTCCGATAAAGTCAAAACTCTTCAGTAATAACATGTACTGTGTCCAGAAAGTTATCACTTACAACACTGTTGCTTTAACTAGGATATCAGATAAAGTAACACTACTGTTCTTTCCTCAAATACAATTAAGAATAGTATTCAAATACTATCTTTTCTTCAGAGTGGAAGACTGTATCCCAAAACAACTAGCATCAAGTGTATTGTATAAATTTGGATGTATTCATTGCTACACAACACAGATAGGCAGCAGTATGAAGTGCCACCTTGGGGAGAGAATAAAGAACATGCTACACTTGAAACACCAGTATTAACAAGAATGTCTTCAAAGAAAGTAACAGTCTCTGCAACAAGAATATCATTCTATAATGGCCCATAACAGCAATGAATGCTTTTAAGGATCAGAGGTCTATTCTGGTCAACAGTCACAATTAAATCACAACAGTTCATATTTACCAATGTTGTTCAGACTGTAAGTTGTTTAATCCTTACAGTTTTAAAATATTCTCAGGATTCATAATCAATTCTAGTTTAGAAACTACTTACAGCATTTTCCAGTAAACGCATCTGGGCTTCAAACTCCAAGTCCCAAACTTTGCTCTTCACCAGCTTTTCATTTCCTTCCGTTTTTTCCTTCTCTTCTGCACCAGGGGACAATGGAACTTTCTCTGTCTCCTGCTGACCCCTCACCATATCTCTCACTTGTTGCTGCTCTTCTTTAGACATCAGTTGAATATTATCCAAACCAATGGGCATAAGATGAACCTGAAAACAAAACAAGAATTTACAGAACAAGGGTTACACTGCTACAAGAACGCACACATGTATAAATAAAAATAACCATCAATAAAGTAGCTGATCCCTCCAACCATTAGCTTTTGTTTCTCTGGTTTTGGTGTACAAATATAGTATGTTTATGTATGTGTGCATTTTGTAGTTATGTTTTCTTATGCACAAAAACCAAACTTGTATTTTTTTTTGGAATGGTCATTATGATATTTTAACCCCAAAATCAAAAGGGTTCTACCCCCATTTCAACAGAAGATTGATTAAAATCTACTGTTTAGAATTCTAATTATGTGGAAAGTGGATGTCTACAAATGAATGGGTAGACATAGTTATTGCTATATCACCCAAAACTTTCTGGCTAAGTAGGGGATAAAAAAATTAAAAAAATGATATGAATTTATTGCACATTTGAACCTCTATTATTGTGAGAAAAAAAAAAAGGATCTTAAATCTAACCTTTGTTTTATAAATAAAATTCACATAATTTTCGTACTCTAACCAGTGTTTTGCATCTTTTTCATTTTTACTGGGTTTTTCATGAAAGAAGGCCTTTAAGTCCATCATAGAAGAACAAAATACTATTTCTTTTCTCTGTACCTAGATTTTCTAAATGTCTAATAACCAATATCATCAATATTCAAATAACTCAATTTGTTAGGATATAAGTTTTTCTATTTCTAAGTGTGTCACCCCCAGTGGTTCACTGACAAGTTCATGAAGTTACAACACAAAAATCCTGACTTTTATTATCTATCTAACAGAGCCCAGATAGCCCATTGTCTCATCTTGTAGTACAACAAACTTCTTAGTGATTTAAAAAAAATAAGTACCTGTGTTTCGCAAGCAGTAATCGCATGACGCAACATACTGAAGGTTTCCTCAATGGTTTCTCCACACACCACTATCCCATTATGCTGCAACACCAAGATCTGCAAGTATATGATTAATAAAGTTTTTGTTACTTATAATAAATCTTAAAAGATACAAACTATATTAAGCAAGTGACCTGTAATTACTATACTTTTATTTTCAGTCATTTACAAAAATGTAATCTTCAATATCTTCAAAGGTGCAGATACAAGAAATCGAAACAAGTTTAGACCACATACTGAGGTATACATGAACCATTATGTCCTTTATTCAACATTGTGTATTGATAAAAACATTATGAAGGAAAGCATAGTGCATACAGAGGTCTGAGTTTTCATTCAAGAAACTTTAAAAAACAAAAGCATATTATTAAAAATCCTCAATGGACAAAAGTAACAACAGTTTGCTACACAGTTTTATACAAGTAAATATAATAGTTTACAAATGTTCAGTTATATAAACTGTCTTGAGCTGGTTATAGATACCAGCAACAGATCTGTAACATAAGTCATTATTCCTTTCGCTACGAGCTTTCCTATGGGAAGGGGTCAGAGGGCATGTCATCACATTTGTAGACCTACATTCAAACTTTTATTGAACTACTATTATATTAATGTATGTCTATAAGTTTGTTATCAACTTGTAGATTATAATTCAGATTTTAGTATTATACATCAGTTAATTTTTAAATTTAAAAGTAAATATTAAAACAAAATTCCTAAATATCGAATTTTGTGTCACATGGTACGTTGAATACAGCTTTAGTTCAAATTAGATGTTTGTGATTCCCAAATATAAAGTCTATAGTTGTTTATGAAACACAAACTCAAATTACCGATATTGACAAACTAGAATATAAAATAAGAACCTCCTATCTTTTCTATTTTCTGAGCTACGTGGTACGTTGAATACAGCTTTAGTTCAAATTAGATGTTTGTGATTCCCAAATATAAAGTCTATAGTTGTTTATGAAACACAAACTCAAATTACCGATATTGACAAACTAGAATATAAAATAAGAACCTCCTATCTTTTCTATTTTCTGAGCTATTATTATATTTAACAAATCAAACAAGGCTCCACCCACCTATTCTGTTTTTGAAAATACTTCTTTACATACACCTACTACACTCTATAACGTGTTTATAATTAATCAAAAGCTCAGAGTTTCCCACTCGATTTTCTCAGCCTTTGCAAAGTATTTACATAATAAAAAAACAGTCTTTGGGGTTCTAGACTCAAGAACAAATGGTGATCAAAAAATATTTTTTTAAACCCAAATACAGCTTAGTTACTAGGCTTGATAAATTACAGTGGAATTCTGTGGTATTGATATAGTAATTTATTCATTTTTTTATTTCAAAATGCATATATAAAACCTAAAGAAATTTTGTTTCACATCCTCCACGTGCAAAACTCGGCAACTTATGGCAAGCAAGCACAAACTTCGTAAGTAGAAGAGATAATCATTTTCTATATTTCTTTATTTATTGTTCTATGTTTTAAGAAAAAAATAACTAAATATTGCAAATTTATCGGTAAATAGTAATAATATGCATACATATGTAATGTATTATAACCAAAATGTGATTGTATTCTACTAATACTGGTCTACTAAAAGAAAACTAAGCTGTACATGTGCCGCGTGATTGTAACTTCTGTTATGTTAGTCAGACGTGGCTGAAAGGTCAATAAATATAATAAATATATATATAGATTTATAATATTATGAGATTTAAGCTACTTCAAATAATCATTTATGGTTTTGTGTTATAATTTGTAGTCATTCTAAAATGAATAAAGTGTAATTTAGATTATTTTCCTATTTTTTATGGAGGTTACAAGGTCGGTCAAACTGACCAAACTTGTAAAGTAAGATAAAGAAAATAAAAGATAAAATATAGTTCTTTCTAAAATAATGCTTGATAATTATTAGGAGGTTACTAAGAAGTTATGGGGATTTTGCATGTGAAACTTGAAACTATTTTGACGCATAAAAATATTTTTAATCTTAAAATCAAAATTACTTCGCACGTTGGATAGTCAACATTCGAAAAGAAAAGATGGCACGACCAAATCATTAATTAAAAAACCTTAAAACTTAATTAAAAAAATTGTGTGTACAAAAGCCTTGTAATGTTTACTGATATATCTACAAAATGTCAAGAAAATACATGTACATTTAAAAAAAGTTAAAATATAACAGACTTATGGTTACTTTGGTGAATACAGGCCAGGAGGAATCGACTCACACCATTGTCAAAGATTAAAGGCTGTTCACTCTATAGGTTTTCTACTTCAATCTCTTTCTATTGTGTTGGGCATTTCACTATTTCATACAGTTTCAATAACTTATTGTAGATTGACAGAACTTCATTAACTTTTTCAATGTCCAGAAAGTCATTGTAATCATTTAAAATAGCATTATAGTCATTTTCTTTCATTCTCCAAGATGATAACAGAATACAGACTACCTTCTTGAAGATGGTTCTGGATTTTTCAGGATTGACAAACATTTCTGGAGGATTAAAAGATAGCGAGTTCTCATCAACGAGTAAGATACAGAACATTTGTTTATAAATTTCAGAAGATGATCAACAAAAAATATTTTGCATTCAATACAAAATTCCATTACTTGCAATTTACTAGTACAAGTTGTTTCTCCTTATCTTTATTCTGTGAGGAGGCCATGACTCTTTTTTTCCCAACATCAGTGGCAACAAGTTCTCTTGCCAAAGGTGGCTGGCAAACAACTTCACTCTCAATAAAGTTCATCACCAGGTTTCTGAACAACGTTGTCAAGTCATTAGATATATAACCATGGACTTGTCACTCTTTACATGTAGAAAAAGCAGGCTACAGATATTCTGCAATGCACTTAAAAAAGTGCAACATACTCTTAATGTTTAACAGCTGAAATAATTGTCTCATATGATTTATCTTCTGGTTTGAGGATTTTTTTGCATTCTTCTGCAGTCACATATACCTGAACATTCCCCAAAATTAACAGAAATCTTTCGTAAACTGGAATATTTTTTTACCATATGTGGTTGACAAACTCAAGCAGAATCTATAAAAAAAAAGTAGTACAAAGATGCCCAATTTACCATTCAGTTTAAAAACATTCCAAACTGTGTGTAGACAACAAGAACCTATGATGATAAAAGTATCTCATCTGCCAGTTGTTTCATCATGTTGCAATATTTTCAATTTACATTGGAACCATCCATAGAAAAATCCATCAAGTTATTCATATTCAGCCTAATCTGAAATATTTTTTAAGTACTCTACAAAAACAGACGAGACAACAGTATATACTATATTTTAAAAAACATATTTCTTTAACACATGGTACAAATCAGTTTTAAATTAACATTCTATATAAAGGAAACACCAACAATAACTACACGTATTCACACACACATTGTGCATAAGGTAAAATATTGTTAATAAATATAACAAATACTGTTAATAAATATAAATTATATACATATTTATATAATGTTAAAGTACAACTGGAGGACTAAAATTCCTGGTCATTCATCTTTATTTAAAGAAAAATCTGTGAATGATTAATTTGGTCTCATTCCATGGAATATGGTGGTTATAGTTAAAAGCATATTTCATTACACATCATAAAGTGCAGTCTTTGTTTTTTACTGCAAATTTGTGTTCATTCAAACATTTTAATTTATGAATTGTCTGATCTGTATATACACTGTTACATTTGCACTTTATAATTTTTAAATCCTGTTTTTGTCCAAAGTCGTTCAATTATCTTTCAAATAAATAAAGATAAATTTTGTTAAGAGATCTATAAACAATTTGGCAGTCCATGTGTGTAGAAAAACAGGTTTTCTATTGGGTTTGAAATCTTATGGAAATAGGGTTGACAAGTAAAGGTCTATAAGCAATTTGGCAGTCCATATGTGTAAAAAAAAAAAGTTTTCTATTGGGTTTGAAATCTTAGGGAAATAGGGTTGACAAGTAACTTTTTCCCTTTTTGTATAAACAGTATAAATTGGTCAAGATATCAGAAAAAATTCAGTTGCTTCATTAACAGTTTTATCAATGATTATCGAGTCATACCCTTTATCTATGACCACATGTTTAAGATAGTTGATTTCACCAAAAAAAAAGTCAACAACATTGGATGAAATACAAAAAAGCTCTAAGTTAGAGCATGGAATATACCAAATTCTTGAGAAAAAAAGACATGAATATCTAAGTGGCAGTATAGTATCTGCAAAAGGTTTGCAAAAACTGATGTTTATCCACCGAATAATCAGTTTATAGTTACAAAAACATCTAAATAAATCAGCTGGTTATTTTCAAATAAATTTAGTGTTATTATGCAAATTGTTTAATTGGTGTAAAAAATTCTTTTAATATCAACATAACTCAGACAAATTTTGGTTTAAGTGACAGTTTGGAAAGAACAGTCAGTGGTTTCAAAATAATCCATGAAAATGTCACGAAAAAGTGGAGATATAGGAAATCCTGTAGATAATCCTTCAACTGGAGAACAGAATTTATTATTTACTTGAATAAAAAAAAGACAATACAAATGCAGCCAAAACATGTAGCAAGATATTTTTATTTTTGGAATAATAAATAATTGTAGTTTAAATCATGTACTACTTTTACTAAATTAAATACCACAAGATATAAGAGTAAAACAATATTATATAAATTGGAAAAAACTAATAGCAAAATCTACATTCAAAGTACAAATGACATGTGTATTGAATCTAACATGGACATTAATTTTTTGTTTTTAAGGCTCTCACCAAATATTACCATCAAATAGCTATTACCTTGTTTCATATAGATATCCTTAAAGTACAGTCGACACAAACAGTCTTCTCCTAACCAACATCCAAACTTTCTGGCAATAGAGCTATCAGGGAACATAACTTGAAACAGTTTTGCAATTTATTCATTTGAATGAAAAGATAAGTGACTAGTAATTGTCTGAAATATCCACAAAATCTCAGCCTTCCATATACTGTTACCAGTGACAATATCACACACACATCTGTGTTTCCAGTCTACTTATTACATCTACATTTAAAGAATTTAAAGATTCCTCTTTACTTACACTGGATTTTATACTTGAAGAAGTAGCTTAGAGTCTTGTGTTTATCACCTAGCTTGCAATTTCAAAGTACTTTTTCCTGACATCTCAGGCTTTATGTTTATCAGCTTTGAACTTTTTGACACATTAATATCCAGATTTTTATGAACAAAGAAGGCTGAAAATAAACTTCTAAACAATCTATAACTACTCATTATTGAAAAATAGTTTTAAAGACTATTGTAGTTGTCTTGAACCCTTTCAAGGCGGGTCACAGGTGAAAGGCCATGTCATCTCGTTTGTTGATTCGCATTCAAAATTTTGTTGAACTACTATTTTATTAATTTATGTAAATAAGTTTCGTATCAAACTGTAGATTATAATTCAAATTTTAGAACTATACATTACATAATTTCTTAATTTAAAAGTAAATATTAAAAACATACATAAACATCGATTTTAGTGTGTCACGTGGTATTATGAAGGTTTCCATAATTCATAAAGTTTACGTGAACGACG